TATCAGCTTCAGAGAGCTAAGCAGAGAAGAACTAACGCTTGTAATTGAACCATATCTACATCTGGCTCATTTTAAAACAGCTACCAGTGAAAATGTCTCTTTTGGAAACAACGCACTAACTTTGGATCAGCATTCTTATGTCTTTGCTTTCCCTTTGCTCTTTGACTCAGATTGGCTGACTGTTCTCTGGGTATTTCCCTGAAGGTGTGTGCTGTTTGTTCCTGGTTTTATTTTAAACAAACTCAAAACTGCTGTAATGTAGCCAGCTCTATCTTGCTTCCCTATATTTTGGGGGGAATACATGCAGTGATGTGCGGTGAGGTTTATGGCTGGTGAGACAACAATTTTTTTAGACTTGTGGACTTAAGCTCCCAGAATTCCACAGCCAGGCATTTTCAGTTCCGATTTAAAGCGACAGCATTTGTTTTTCTCCTTTGCTAAATAAGTTTCCTTCTTTCTTTTTCTTCTCCCTTCCCCTCCTTCCTCCCTCTCTTCCTCCCTCCCCCCTCTCAAACACACACACACACACACACATACACAAAGTTGCACCAGGATTCAGAAAATTTAGGTTTTCCTCCTCAGCCCATGTTAGCAATACCACTAGCAGCATTTTGGCTGGCAGAAGTGGAAGTTCATTCTACTGAAAACATTGTTTTTGCTTATGATTGTATAATTAAAATTTCAGAAGACGCAAAGGCATAGTATTAGAGTGTTACATAGTGAATAAACTAAAGAACTGTCTCAATATGCTCCCTCCCCCCTCTCAAACACACACACACACACACAGTTGCACCAGGAGGATGAAGTTTGAATTCCTCCCCTTCCCTCCGACCCACACGTACCTTTTCCAGCTGTTTCAGAGAGGATTTCAACTCTGCTCTTGCCTGCCATCATGAAAAGAAAAAAAAAAGGTAAAAGGAAAAAGGCAAGAGCTGAGGTCAGGCTGAGCTAGTTGCTGCCAGAGTCACCATGACTGCTTAGTGTTTAACTGTTTAAAAAAGCCTCTAAAAAAGCACCCTCTACAGGAGGAGGCAAGAGAACGATGTGCCTCATCTACGTCAGGAATTTTTCGGCTTTTAACCCTTGCTTAACTCTGCTTGAGTAAAAAATGCCAGACTAGATGAGGCATGTCGTTCTCCTGCTGCCTCCTGTAGAGGGCACTTTTTTAGAGACTTTTTAAAACAGTTAAGCACTAAGCAGAGTCATCCATGGTGACTCTGGCAGCAACTAGCTCAGCCTGACCTCAGCTCTTGCCTTTTTCCTTTTACATTTTTTTTTCTTTTCATGATGACAGTGGTGAGGCTCTGCCTCCCCTGCCTCTCCTGACTGCACGTCCCTGAATACATGTATCCACATCTCTCTGCCAGCCTTACCACTAGTCAATACATTATTTGTAAATTGATCCATCACATTTTTCTCATCTTGAAATAGTACACCGGTCCAATTAGTATTGGGCCTCAAGCATATAAGGCATATTCTAGATCTGATGCTCTGTTTGTGTAGAACCAGTAACATGAGACTGCAGATAATCAGTGTAATTTATCACCAGACCAATCTTTCTCTAGTTACTTGTGATCTAATTAAAGTGTATTACCCTAGCTACCTGATGGATTTTTCCCCTCAATGAACTTGGAATTTTGCTGTCTCTTATTTGCAACACTCTTCCCTTTTGAAGACTCAAGTCTATTTTACTAGGGAATTGAAGGTGATAAAATAGAAGGGCTAGGAGTTGTGAATGGAGGAAATCTCAGGGAATTGCTACAGTTTCTCAATTACCTCAGCCAGAAATGGCATATTTAACACCACCTGATTTTTAAGCTCTTTCAAGTCAAGGGAAGTTTTCTTTAACATTGGCCTCATCACTAACTTCTGTAGGCAGAGAGTGATACATATCTCCTGTAAGGGAGCATTAATTACTTTTAATTGCAGGGCTATATTAAGATGCAAAAGCCAAGCAACCATATAGGCACTTTGCCTGTCCATCAAAGGTTTACACATTCAAAAGTATCCAAAATAATATGACAAGTAGTTGCCATTACTAAAAATCAATTCAAGATATATCTGAATAACTTTATCTATGAAGATTGCTCTGTTCCATTTCCCCAGCTTTCTGGTGAAGGCAATGGTGCATAATGACCCCCCCCCAAAACCCCCCAACACCTCCAAACCCCAGCACAGTAATGAACAATTCTCTATCCAGAAAGAGAAGGAAACATTTTCCACTACTTAGCACCGTAGAATTGCTCTAAATCAAATTATTTTTTTCAGTATATTCTTAATTACTGTAGTTTTAACTGGAAGATACCTGGATGATATTTTATCTGGACTCATTTCAGTTAGGCCAGGGCTGTCATACTCCCAGCCCGCGGACTGGATGTGTCATGCAATGGCCACACCCATGCCTGGTTAAGTGAAGGGGAAAAAAGTCCCAATGCGTCACATAACGCTGCTGTGACGATGCTATGACGCCGTGAGTTTGACACCCTTGAATTAGGCTCTTCAACAGGATATAAAGTCATACTATTTAATTCTCTTGATAATTAAACTATTTTGGAAATTAAAATAGTGTTCCCATTTTCTCTGATCTCATGGTGGGTTTTAAGGTGCTATCAGTATAATGATATTACTGAGCTCTACTTCCTGCCATTTAACTTTAAGGCAGACTCCCTTAAGTTAATTTTAATGGACTTATTATTAAACATAAGAGTGAAGTCTGAGGTGATAAACGATTAAACACTGTTCTGTTCTGACTAACATGTGCCATACGCTAAATAAATAAATAAATTCATGTTTATGATTAGAATGTGTTAAGGACTGTAGTCATTTGGCAAGATGCTGATAAAATTGAATGATTCTGATAAGATAAAGATTATGTTGGTTAGTAGGGAAATATTCTCAGCCACTGAAGTTCAGCTTGCTCTTGCTAAGATTACATCCCCCCTGAAAAAGGAGACCTATTCAGGCAGTCCTTAACTTACAATCACAGTTGAGCCCACAATTTCTTTTTGTTAAGTGAGATGAGACATTTGTTCTGAGTTTTGCCCCATTTTATGACTTTTCTTGCCACAGTTGTTAAATGAATCACTGCAGTTGATGTTAGTAACTCAGTTGTTAAGTGAACCTGGCTTCCCCATTGACGTTGCTTGTCAGAAGGTTGCAAAAGGTGATCATGTGACCCTTGCACACAGCAGTCATAAATACGAACCAGTTGCCAAGCATCTAAATTTTGATCACATGATCATGGGGATGCTGCAAAGGTTGTAAATGTGAAAAACGGTCATAAGTCACATTTTTCAATGCCGTTGTAACTTTGAATGGTCACTAAACAAACTGTTCCATCCAGAAGTAGTCCAAATGCAGGACTACTTGTAGTCTGTAGATGCTTCTTCACCTCAGCTTTCTAATGGCATAGTAGCAAGGAACACATTTGTACAGATATACCAAGAGATCAACTGTGTTCCTGAGCTGGAATTAGTAGTTACCTTTCATATATCCTACCGTAACATGTGTTCTGTATAAAGCTGTCTTAAAATGTATCCAGTGCAAAATGTGGCAGGTTGGTTGTTGACCATTATAAAAATTAGAAAACAGACCCAAATGAAAATTGGCACTATTAGTCAGTTGTTTTCCAGGCACAATATAAAGTGTTGCATTTTATCTTGAAAATTATATTTTAAAAAACCCTTAAGATCTAAATATCCAAGGGACCACTTTTAAAATATTTTTACCTGAATAGTTAGATCAACAGGAGATGCCTTCTTAAACATGTTTTTCCCCCGAAAGTTTGCTTGAAAGAAATCTCTCTGCTGTTGTTTCTAAGTCATGGAGTACACTGTATTAGCAGCTGTGCTTTTAGAAAAGGAATCGATTTCCTTTTCAGCTTAGCTTTTGCTATTTGAATTAGAAATGTTTTATTATGTTTTGTTTGAGGGTTCTCTAAGCAGGAAGATAGGATAGTTATTGTCATTGTCATTCTCTTTTTTTTTTTGCCAAGTATAAATTTTCTGTTTTGAGGTTGTGATAAGATTCATACGCAGATACATATATGCTTATGAATAATGTGTGCACATTTTTACATAGAACTTTTTTTTTCAGTCCCTCCTGTTTTCCATTCTTCTGCATGTTAATTTCCAAGCATTGTATTGTCATTAAATTATTTTTGAAATTCTAGCAAGAACAATTGATTGTTTTAAGCCAAAGGAGAAAAAGTAGTGTTTCTAAAGTGTATATTTTAAGACTATTATTATGACATGGAGCATAATGAAGTCTACCTTTGTCATGAGTTTCTCCATAGTCTAAATATCTTTCCCATACAAGATTCAAAATTTGCTACTCTCTGTTTTTAGTTAAATATGCTTTAGCTGTTTTGCCAACCCAGGAGAAGTGATAATTAACTATTCTTAAGCACTGTGATTTGGTGGCATATGAAAATAATGGGTAGAACGTTTATTGAAGCTTGCCTATTGATTTTGTTTTTACAATGGATCCTTGACATCTTGTTATCTATTTTAGCATTGGGTGATTATGAAGTTGTTGGAGATAGCAACCTGGCTATATAAAATTATATGTTTTAATTCCTGTTTTCTAATATGCAGAAGAGATTTTATCTTGATGTCTTAAGAGTTGATAGCACATATTTGACCTTGGGTGATCTTTAAAAGTTAAATGGAATTTTACTCCATTAGTATTTAGGTGGGAAACACAGGAGGGTAGGCCAGAGTGGACACTTGAACAAACATGACAAGAAAAAAAAGGAAATCATTTATCTATTATTATTATTATGTTAAAGGAATTCACATAGCCAGCTGAAATCAAATATGGTTTAAAAGATTCTGTATTTGTTCCTCATATGAAATGTCCCACTTGAACTATCTGTTGTATAGTCCACATAGAAATACTGAGACTAGAAAAGGACAACTGGGAGGTAACATCTAGGAAAGCAAGGAATCTACAGCCATATTCAAAAGATTCTCATTTATTGTCCTTGTGTTCTTTTTTAGATCACACAGGAGGCTGGAGAATTTATGATCACTTTCCCATATGGATACCATGCAGGATATAATCATGGTTTCAACTGTGCAGAATCAACAAACTTTGCAACAATTAGATGGATTGATTATGGAAAAGTAGCTAAATTGGTAAGTTAGATGATATTACTAATAACCAAGTTATTCAAAATATTGGGTTTAAAAAGGATTCTTGAATTTAGAAAAAAATCTGTAACTTGTGATAATTTCAACATAAGTAATTTATGCTGAATAAATATTTTGTATAATGTTATTAATCATTACAAGTAATAATTACCAGATAGTTCAGAGATTTCCTACAATAGATATGGCTATTAAGGCAGTGCACATTTTGTTAGAATTGGCTAGTTAAAGTTATTGTGACCTTTAAAACAATATCAGTCTTTAGGGATTTATATTTATATTAATTCCAACTTATTTCATCTTAATTATTTTCAGAATTTGAAAATATTTCAACTTGTTATTTCAACTGTAATAGTTATCTTGCTAAGGTAGAATTTTTATTAAGTTTCCTCAGAAATAATTTCAATGAGGTTTTTTTTCTCAGAAAATATATAGAATGTGATTTCTAACTCTGAAAATTTCTCATTTCCATGTAATTAATGACTTATTTAGGAAAATTCTTAAAAATTCAGCCAAGTGTGATTTGATAATATATGTTATATATGTGTAGGAACAGTATCTATATACTACTAAAACTCTTGGCATGATTTTTAACTGGACAAAATGGTGCATCATAGGGCAGCAATTTTTGAATCAAAACGCCTTACAGAATGCATACAAAATCTGGAACCCATGATTCCCAAAGAAATAATCTCTGAAAGTTGTGGCTTTTAGGGTTCTTATTTTTACAAGAAGAATATTGATGAGACATCTTGAGTGTCTTTGCCTAGCAGTATTAAATGAATCATTGAGAGAGGATGAGAGCTGTCAACAAGATGGAATATATTGACTTTAACAGTTAAAGGATTTGGTTCAACATGGGACTTGGACCAAAATTCAACATTCGACATACTAACAGCCCCTTTATTTGCTGCAAAATCTAGTATCAGCCAGGCAATTGGCAACCTCCAAGGCTTTGCGGTCCATATTAAAGAATTGTGATCTTACCTGTCCTCATTAGTTGAGAGAGATTAACTCTCAATTCTGTCTAGATTTAGATTTAGATTTAGATAAATTTATTTATAGGCCGCCCTTTTCCCTGAGGGGACTCAGGGCGGCTTACAACGTATAGGGGAGGGAGTACNTAGGCCGCCCTTTTCCCTGAGGGGACTCAGGGCGGCTTACAACGTATAGGGGAGGGAGTACATACAATGACATATAAAACAATACGTAATTAAAAAATAGAAGCAACATTCATCATTCGGGAGGGTCTAGACCTTCAACCACTTCCTCAATTTTAGCAACTTGCCACAGCTCCTCATTCCAGGGTCATAGGACCTCCTGACCTGCCTATCTTTACTGTGAATCCAGCCTAATGCCTAAAAAGCTAACAATAAGCACACATTTATGATTAAAGTATTTTACAAAACTGTATGAATACAGACATAGAAGGATGGCTGGTAAGAGAAGTCATTTGTCCAGTAAGCAAATGAGTAGAGATTCTCTATTTTTCCAATTCAATAGCTTTCATACTGTGTTCTGTGGAACTCTGTATTGATCAGTTAAGTCAGTAACACTAGATAAGCTTCACTGAAAAAATACCTTACAAAACTTTCCTAGAATGTATAGCTACAGTGTAATGCTGGGTATGCTCCCACCTGCATTCCTAAGTTAATAAACAAAGTAAAGACCCAATGCAGATCCACAGAAGAGGAGTTAGAGCAGACAGTACAGATGAAAGGAACCGATTGCTGTCTCCAACAGCAAAGAATTGGAACCTCATAAGTTTCCTCATGTGCTGAGAAATCAGGTCAGGGAAAGATGGGCTGAAAGCTAGACAATAAAAAGGCAGTGTGCTTTGTCTATTCTCTACAGCTGTAAGTTGTTCTACATTAATATCACATGTTTGCCAATTACAGCCTGCATAGGCCTGCAACACATGTAGACTGTAAAGTTTGTTCTCTTTCATTAATGTCATCTCCCTCCTCTGCACGATATATCTAATGAAGATATAGAGAAAGTCTGATATTAAGATTTTAAAGAAAGGCAGATAGGATGTTTTCTCAGACCTTTCTAAATTTTTAAAGTCTATCTTCATGTTAGTTGGTTAGATATGTATTTTTCTAGGGACATTTTGGCTTATTCTACTTGAGTGCATTTTGTAAATGTCAGTGAAATAGATGATAAAGTGACAATTAGTTCATGTATTGTGCTAGGGCCTTCTTTAATTTGTGCTTAGCATGCAATATTTATGCTGAAGTTGGAGCTATATGCAGACTTCTAAACTGCTGAATATATATGTTTGCAAACTTTGTGATTATCTTTCCTGTTTTTAAAAATCTGAAGTTTCCCTAGAAGTAATTTAATTTCAAAAAATACTTTGATCCAAACAAGTAGTACAGGATCTTCCTTAGCAGTTTGCACACCATTAAACCAGACAAATAATCTCTCATTCTTGTTTATTTTGAAACTTAGTTTATATAGTATATCATTAACCAATCCATTGATTAAACACTTCTTCCTCAGTTGAATGTAATAAAAAATTGTTCTGTGCCTGGAGCATACTGTGTCATTACACAGGATAATAGACATCGGTACTCAGAGATATCATCATCATCATCATTCTAGCCATTTTCTATCCACTGCAGGATGGCCTTTTTTTGCATGTTTCAAATCAATATGGTCTTGAGCTTTCTTTTCCAATTGGGTCCATAATACTTCCTGATGTCACCTCTCCATCTTGTTTTAGGTCTCTTTGGGGGATGCTTTTTATCAAGTGGAATCCATGCTATGACTGCCTTAGTCTACCTAATGACACAGAGATGTGGAAGGGTATAAAGAAAATGTAAAGAAAAAACCTATAGGGATATGGATCAAGTGTAGGGAGCTATGCAATAATGATGGAAAGAAAATGAAAAAAAAACAGTAGAATTAAGAACTAGGAAGTGAGGTGGAAGACTATCTATAGTCCTTACTTACCATTACTTATTGGCACTGGCAACTGTGTTGCTAAGTGCAAAGTTTTCGCTAAGGGAAAAAAATAGCATGACTAAGCCAGTCTTACAATATCACTTCTGCTTTTGTTGATCATGAATAACTGTTTGTGTTAGATGAGGCATCATATGACCATGACTTGAGATTTCAGTTCCAAGTTCTTTACTAATTCTGCTTGTTGGAAGCTGACTGTGAAATTTGCAAATGGCAATCACATGACCACAAGACACTGGAAGTATTGTAAATGTGCAGTGGTTGCGAAGCGCCCAACTGACAATCATGTGATTATAAGATGTTGCGATGGCCGTAAATGTGAGGATTAGTCCCAAAGTTGTTTTTTCAACAGTTGTAATTTTAAATAGTCACTAAGCAAGGAGGCATTGATGCAGTATTACATGTATTACCTATATCAGTCTTTGAAGTAATATTTTTTCATCCAACATTGTAAACTTATTGGATTTTTAGCATCTATTTTTGTTAATATTAATCTGAAGTAAAAGTTCAATATATTTACATGGAGGACAAAGACATTTTTCTAGGGATTATTATTCCAAGATATTTTTTAAAAATCCAAATACCAAGAAAAAAATCAAACTCCTTTTTCCCCTCCAAATTTCCATTAATAAAGGCTCCAGTTAATTGAGTAGTCTGTTAAATTATCAAGTTAATATCAATGGTAATAGTAATGCATGTTAGTTTTTTTTTAGGAAGCATGTTGAATATCATTCGATTTGAGAAGCCATTATCTAGCAGTATAATCGTTAATCATTTGATCTTGTCTAGCCATGGAAGTTTTTGGTAAAATAAAGGAATAGCTGATCATTACCTTCAATCATGCACTATAAAATAATTCCTTTGCCACTAAAATGATTATCTGTTTCCAGCATCTCCTTCTACTGTTCTGCCCAATATACTTTACTTGCTTTAGTTGAGAGCTGGGATGATCTTATTGCTATGAGTGATCCTGTTGGGAATATACATCCTTGCCGTATACCCCAGTATTCTTCACTAATTCCCCTTAGGAGCACCATCTCCACCATAATGAAAAATCATAGCAAGACATTAGAGGAGATTAGAAGAATATTTTTTTTACATTGAGTTATACTTTATTTTTTATTTTCAAAATACCATAAAGCAATAACTATAATATAGCAGCTAAGGGTTTTACAGTTATTATTGCATAATGCTGTTACCCTACTAGTTCTGTAATATGATATTAAGGTTTCATTGCATTTGATTTCTTTTTTTAATGTAAGGTGATTTTTCGATCATAAATCTGCATTAATCAAAAATTTGGTGATAATAATCCCAAGCAGTGAGCGAAGTGAATCAAATGTTTTTCAAAGGAAATAATGAAGAAACTGGTGTATATCACCTCCATTTTTATCATTTGAATCGTTACAATAAAGTTTAAAAGAAAAAAAGTGGCATAAAAATTCAATGTATTTATATAATCTATAATGAACACAGATGAAGGTCTTGAATATATTTTTGCCTATAATTATAAATTAAATTTAAAATATCAAATTTATATACTACCTCTTGCCTTACTTTAATATATCACAAGAGGAAATATATAACATTTGTGTTAAAGAACATAATAAGCTTTTAGGACAGCTCAAAATTCTCACTGAGATTATCTCCTATGATCTGCTATTAAACTGACTAGTTCCCAAAAGGAGCCAGTGTTACACTCTGAAATCATGGCAGCTAAAAATGATTAGCTTGTTTGTGAGATGTAAGCCCATAATTACTCATCCATATTCTGTAGCAGTAGCTGCTTAAGAGACCTTTGTTGTGTGGGTATGTTAGATCAAAGTGCTGGCCTGCAGGTTGTATTTCATTTTTCCCCCTTTGGTGGGATGAAGTGCAGTTGTTTTGATGTTAGGTTTGATGGATTTGTTTGCCACTGCATTCATTAGCTTCACATCAAAAAATTGACAGGCTGTTAAATGAAACTTTGGCTTAGATTTTCAGCTTGACTGTTTGGAGACATTTGTGAAGATATTTTATGT